AGCTTAGCCTGTTAGCTTTAGCCCCGACGCTATAGTGCCTTATATGTATTAGCTCGATGCTAGTGTGACAAACAAGTGAAACCTTTTTAAACTTTTAGTTTAAAAATGATAAAAACCAAACAGCCTACAGTATTTTCACACTTAAAATATATGTTTATTAAATAAAGTCTAATGTTACAACTAATTGTGGATCCCTTTAATGATAAAAAGAACAGGTTCAGTTTTCCTACCAGCTGCCTCCGGTTCCTCTTCCAGGTCTCTGCTTTCCTCTTAGAGTTCATGTTCTGAAAAGCTGCACAAACGAAAGGAGTGAGTCTGAGCGCAGATTGAATGAATAAATAAATAAATAAATAAATAAGTCTGCCTGACTTTGCTTGCTGAAGTCGCTGGGCAGGCTGTGGTTCAGGTTCTTGTAGAAGTCTGTCCGATGGGCCTTCTTCAGTCCCGTGCACAAACCGAAGTCTGAGAGCTTCACGTGACCCTGAAAACAGAAACACGTCCCCGTTAACGAGGTGAAGCTTCAGCCCAACGAGCTGCACAGCTGCAGGTGACGTTCAGATGAAGCTGTAGAAGAAGCGTCGGACCCGGGCGTCCAGCAGCAGGTTGTCTGGTTTGATGTCTCTGTGGATGAAGCTCAGCTGGTGGATGGAGTCGATGGCCAGCACCGTCTCTGCGATGTAGAACTGAGTGGCCTCTTCTGTCAGAGTGTCCTTCTTCATCAGCAGCGTCATCATGTCTCCTGCGGGGACAAACAGGAGGACRTGAGTCTCTCGGACTCGGCTCCTGTGGGACCTGTTGGCCTCGGGTCTCACCTCCTGGCAGGAACTCCATGATGAGGTAGAGGTTCATCTTGTCCTGGAAGCTGTAGAACATCTTGACCACCCACAGGCTGTCCGCCTCCACCAGGATGTCCCGCTCCGCCCGTATGTGTCCCACCTGCTCCTTCTCCAGCATGTCGGCCTTCCGGAGGATCTTCATGGCGTAGACGTGACCCGTGTCCTTCTTCTGGACCAGGCGGACCTGCGGGCGGATCGACGGTTCAGGTGAAAACCCACCAGGGGGTTCTGAGGAGGCCACAAAGCTTCTGAACGTTTGGCTTTTTTGGAGTTGATTAAAACTGAACGTCACCTCTCCGAAAGCTCCTCGGCCGATCACCTTCAGGGACTCAAAGTCCTCCAGGCCCAGCCGGGTCCGCTTCAGACGCAGGAACTCCGTCTCTTTCCTGGCGTGTTCGGAGCGGCGGATACGTTTCTGACGAGAGCAGACAGAATTTAACCAACATGAAGTCAGGCTCAAACATTTCCTGAGAGAAAAACCTAAAATATTTATAGAAAAATATCTAGAAACAGAAACTCAGTGTTGTATAAAGTAGGGCTGTGTATTGGCAAGAATTTGGCGATACGATACATATCATGACAGAGGGGTCACGATACGATATATCCTGATATATTGCGATACTGTAAGCAAGGCGATATTTTGCGATATATTGCGATTTTTTTGTCCAAAAATTCTATTAAATAAAAACCTCTTACTGGGGAAGAAAAACGAAAAACTAAAATTCATTGTCTCAGAAATTCTAATATTACAGACATACTTTTTATACATTTAGCTGTGTTCTGCTTTGTATGTGTTTTATTTGTTTCATATTTCTTATTTAATCCATGTTTTCAATTATTAGACTAAATTTG